TACTGATCGGTATCAAAGTGTGCAATAGCAAGTAAGTGATGTGCTTCATCCATACCACATACAGCGTGTTCAAGCTCTTCTGCCCCGGGATTATGAGCCCCGAGTTGCTTTTTGTCGCACAATGTTAGAAAGACACAGGAAAGATCCACAGTTCTTTGAAAAAATTTTATGGACGGATAAGACCACATTTAAGAAAGATGGGTACATGAACCTGCATAACTTACACGAGTGGCACGTAGCAAACCCACATTTGATGAGAGAAGATAAATCTCAATATCGCTTCAAGATAAACCATTGGACAGGAATTTTAAATGGTAAAATAATCGGTCCGTTTGAGTTCCCAGAGACTTTGACTGCTGAAGTTTATTTGGATTTTTTGAAAAATCATGTACAAAATTTATTGGTGGACATGCCACTGAGTATTTACAGGGACATGTGGTTTAAGCATGATGGCTGAACAGCGCACTATGCACTCTCAGTGAGAGAGTATCTCGATCAAAACTTTCCAGGCAGATGGATAAGGCGGTCTGGTACAATACCGTGGCCAGCCCGATCACCTGATTTGAATCCTTTAAATTTTTTTACTGGGGAACTGTAAAAGGAAAAGTGTATTTCAAGCCGATTCAAAATGTAGCTGAGCTACGGCAAAGACTACTGGAAGCAGCTGAGTTTGTTAATAACCGTGGATTCGCTCGTTTAATAACCCGATCTTTTTTAAGAAGATGTCGAGCGTGTATTGCGGCTGAAGGAAAACAGTTTGAGCATTTGCTGTAAAGGTAAATCATCATCAGCAGCATTTTGACGCCCACTGTTGTGCAAACAGTTATCCTTAAGGGTCCTTGTACGTTTTCATAATCGCTGTTTAATTAGGAAATTTTGAAAAATTTTCATCAGTTTTTCTTCAAATAAAAATTGTGCATAAGTTAACGAGTAATCTTATAAGTGTTATACCATTTTGGAATCGTTATTAAATGCGCCAACTTTTAAGGTTACTTGCCAAACTCTCGTAGTACATTTTTTTCCAGTACAGCCAGTTAAAGTTGAGCAAAGTTTTACTTTGGAATACTTGGTTGGGAAATAAGTGGCAATTTTTCCTGAACGAGAAAAGTTGGCAGTAAGGTTGAGACACCAGTTTGAAGATGCATTATTCATTATTACATTGTAAAAATAAAATCCAAAAAAAGTTAATATTTGTAGTAACAGGAGTTGACAGACTGCCGTAGGGTGTGAAATTTCTATATTTTTTTCAAAGACCTATAATTTTCAAAACACATACAAAAAAATTTTTTAAATATTTTTCTGATAGCTGTTATGACTTTGCCTATCACCCGGTTTCGGCTTGACGTCGACTTCTGGGACACCCTGTATATTTTGTGCGGTCCTCTTTACTATTGCTTTCATACAGCAGCAGCTGCGTAGGAAGAAGCTCAAATATCAGGGCACCGCGGCTTCTATCAGGAGCTTGAAGATCCTTTTTCTATCCGATTTTCGAACTGTCTAAGGTTAGTAGAGCTGGAAAAGGCCTTCTCCTGTAGATTGTTCACAATCTCGGAATCCGAAGGAGCGGTCGTTCCTGCCAGTTCTAGGAAGTTCGACACGGTTAGTATGGGTGACCGAACTCAGATGCGTGTGTCTTGTAGGCACAACGCGCGGCGACATTTTTTTTATTCCGAAGCAGCCGCGCAGACAGAAGCCTAAATACCGGGACACCGCGGCTGCTATGAGGATCCCAAAGACATTTTGTAAATCCGATTTTTGAACTGCCCAAGGTTAGTAGATTTGGGAAAAGCTTCCTCGTATCGGCCAGTTTTGGATGTACGAAGTTCGACACGGTTAGGATGGGAGGCCAAAGTCAGGCGGGTCTAACTGGCAGGTACATCGTGCGGCGGCATCATGGAACAGAGCTCTGAGGAGCTAAGCCCGTTGGTGTAGCAGTAGAAGAAGGAGAGCTAGAGAGCTGTATGTCGTTCTGTCAGCTAATCCTTGGATCTCCTATAGCTTCGGAAGATCTGCTTGGATTTTGATGAAAGTTTCACACAGGGTTGCTACTATGCCAAGTAGTTTTTGAAAATCGGTGTATGGCGGCGGCTCCACAGACAAAAAACAAAAAAAAAATCGCTCAAACTTCGCTTTTCGAAGTTTCAGAAGATCGTAATCGTTTTTGAAAAAAAATGGGTGGTGGAGGAGTTGTAGGTGGGTGGGGGAGGCTGCATCACATTTTTTTAAAGTTAGTATACTAATACACTTCCAACCCCGGTAATTCTATGCACCTATTAAACATATATTACACACCACAGATTTCCCCGTGCATTTGCCCTTAAAACTTAGAAAAACATTATCAGTACATGGATCTCCTATCGCCTACGAGGTGGGCGCGATATCTATGTATGCGCGTTATGCTTTTAGGGTACTTCAGTGGTGTTAATTGGTCGAATTATGCTACGAACTGCTGCCCCATCTACCGTATTCTCCAGATTTGTTTCCAAATTTGAAAAAGTCACTCGCTGGGTAGACATTTGAGTCGAATGAGGAGGTTATCTCTACCACGGAGGCCTACTTTGCAGACCCTTAGAAAATGTATTTTTCAGACGTTGTAGTATCGCTGGGTCAAGTGTATCGAGCTATGTTGACAAATAAATCGCCAGAAATCAAAAAAAAAATTGTTTTTATTTTGTTGGCTAGGTACTTATCGGACCGCTCTCGTATTATGTTTTTTTAGAACACAAATATCTGAAAAATCTTTTTTGCACTCTTTAAAACATCTTGATATAATTCATTGCTTGTGGTGACCAAATAGTTGAAGCGTATTCTAAATTTGGTCTCACTAGAGTGCTGTGCAAAGTTGTTATCGCATTAATATCCTTGAAATGAAGCCAAGAAGTTTATAAGGCTTTCAAATATTCACAATATTTTCATAATGCTGGACAAATTTTAAATTTGTTTGGAAGCAGAAGCCAAGATCGTTACCTAGCTGTAAATTTTCAGTCATGTATATAAAATTTATGTACTATTGTTTTGACGTGTAAGTTAAAACATTATATAATGTAGTATATAGAGGTTCAAATTTGGCTGACATCGTAAGGGGTACAAGCGAGAAGCGCGCGGAGCGTCCAATATGTACATATACTAAGTGACATATAAATCCGAACACCCAGTTTAAATGGTTTTATTTTAATAAAATTTTGTATAAGTACTTAATGAAGCATAATAAGTAAATGATAAAAATTTCAAAATGATTGCACTGCTTTAAAGCCCTTTGACCTTTAATAATGTGTGGATGCACCCTGATGTGCTACGCATTCTCCAACGCGCCTAGGCATGCTTCTGGTCAATGTCCTCCTGTGGTATCTCATTATCTCATTCCAGGCAAACACCAACTCCTCTCGAAGTGCTTCTAGAGTCTGAGGAGGACGTTGCAAATTGAGCAATCTCCTACCCATCATATCCCACACGTGCTCAATTGGGGATAAGTCGGGAGATCTTGGTGGCCATGGTAACAATGTGACATCATTATGTTGAAAGAAGTCTATTGTGACTCTTGCAACATGTGGTCGGGCATTATCTTGTTGGAAAGTGGGATCTGCCAGGGTGTCAAGATAGGGTAAAAGATGGGGTTCTAGAACTTCGTGGATATAACGCTGCGCGTTCATGTTACCTCTGATGAAGATTAAAGGTGACCTGGAACCATAAGCTATAGCACCCCAAACCATAACTCCAACAGTGAGATGAACATGTCTTTCAACAAAAAACTGTGGATTCCTCCTTTCACCACGTCGCCTTCTAACCCTGGCACGATCATCGTGCATGCCTAAACAAAATCGAGACTCGTCACTAAAGACAATAGTGTTCCATTCCTGATCCCAGAGTGACCGTTGTCTGCACCACTCAAGGTGATTACGTCGGTGTTCTCGAGTTAAAGGGAGGACCCAGTGTGGCCGGTATGAAAACAAGCCAAAACTTCTCATTCGTCGGTAAACACTTCGCATGCCAATAGGTCTTCCGTGTTCTGCAAACCATTCATTTGCAATGGACCTGGTAGTGGAGAAACGGTCCCTTAAGGCCAATAAATAATCTTAGGCGGCGATCTTCACGGTCTGTTTTTCTACGGCGGCGCCCAGTGCCCCTTGCACTTTGCATACGGTTTTCTCGAAGCCATGCCTGACAACACCTAACCACAGTGTCTACACTTCTTTGCACTCTAACTGCAATTGCCCGAAAAGAAACTATACGGCCCCTATCAAACTCACTAAGTTGACGAAATCGTACAGGTCTCCGTACTCTAGGCATCGTAACCGATCGTAAAGGATGTCAAGAACCAAAATCCGCCAACGCTGATTCTTTACTGCGGCTGAAATATTCATTTTTAGAGCGTTAGTGAATTAAAAAAAAGCAGTCTAAAAACCGGAATGTCCAACTGATAAGGCTGAAAATTTTTTCACTTGTTATTTACAGTAAGATAAATACATTCACCAACTTTTATTAAAATAAAACCATTTAAACTGGGTGTTCGGATTTATATGTCACTTAGTGTATGTTAGAAAGAGTGCGCAGATGGCGTCCGTGGCGTCGTCACTCGGGTTGCTAGGCAACGAGGTGCTTCTATCTCTTTCTAACTCACGTATTGCACTCTTCTCACATTACGACGTCAGTGTTATTTGGTTGTCAGTGTATAAGTATTTATCCAGGGTATTATAATCAATTATCAATCATTGTTGACAATCAGTTTTACACGAGAGCTCCAAAGAAATTAAGGCTCCCATGTACGGAGATGCTCATTTCTGCAATCTGAGGATAACTTTTTTTCATGAAAAGCCCAAATAGTGCATTACTGATTCTGACCTATGTATGACTTTTTGAAGTCATTGCAGTACATGGAAAATTGTACTAGAAGTTGTTTAGAAAGCGTGGGAAGTATAGAGTCATTTTTATTCATCATACCCATATTGATCTTTTGAATCGCCCTGTATAAGATCGGAAGCGGCGAGCGATCTGTGAATACAGTTGTGTACGTCACCGTTGAGTGTGCTTTTGGGGCACGAACATAGAAGATGCTCACTGGACGGTTTTGGAAAACAGTTAGCACAGCTACAGAAAGTACACATTCGATCCACAGTCGTGATAACAGCCGCGATCTTGACAAAATTGGAACGTGCCCCAAATTCCCTACAACTCGATAAAACTACCGGGAGAATATGGGATAGACGTCTCTGCTCTCACAGTTGCCAAGTATGGATGTGTTGTTACAAGTGCATGGGATTTTAGTTCTGGTGTCGCGTGCAGTGAATTTGTTAGTTGATATGAAGTCTAGATAGTTTGTGATGTAGGGGACTGATCGTGACTCTTCGGTATGTTGGTTATAGTATGATGCTTCCTTGTGAGCAATTCCACGGTAGTGTCAACCTGTTAGTCAAAAACTGAATCTTACCGTACTTTATTTTTGTCAGTATTTTACTCTACATACTGAGTAGCTACGTCTTCATTCGCAACACACCCCGACAACCCGCAGGGCTATTACGTAACTTGGAAAGTGACATTATGTCGGTTTTTTGACATTATGTCGGTTTTCCAACAAGACGTCAACTGTTGTTCATTTCATGCTCACTTGTAGCAAGCGCCGAACGAACTATTTGCACATTAGCCTGCTTAGTCAACAAGTTGACATTTTATCGGTTTTTGTTTTTGACATATATAGGTTTTTTATGTACTAACCCTGCCGGTGTCTGCCCAGGTAGCTTCAAAGATTCTATATTAATAATAATTTATTCATCCTGTGGATCACAAAGTGATAAAGGATAAGTCAATTGAATATTAGTATAAACAGAAATGCATACAAACATAAATAGCATTCAAAACAACAAATGAAAAAAAACTAAACGCTAGAGGATGGCTAAGGAATCTAGATGACATTTTTAAAATATTTGCACTAATTTTGTCTGCGCTAGTAGTATACAAGGTGACCCAATATTCGGTGGTCATAGAAGTACCACGTATATTTTTAGACTCAAAATAAGTGGAATAAGAGTTCTTTTTAAAACACATTTTCATAGAGGTAAATCATGTCCATTTGACCTATTTTGAGTCTAAAAGTACGTGGTACTTTTATATGTACGGAATATGAGGACAATATTGGCTTATACTGAACAAGAAAACGCGTAGGGCGCTCTATTAGAAAATTGGTAGGGCTTTGGAAACATCTGATGTTTCGTCTCTAATAAAGACATCACGAGTATTATGAAATGGGATGTGTTATAGAATTTTGAATTTCTATGTCAGTCCGAGACACTAAACATGCATCTTGTATCATATCTCCAAATCGGGGTAGAGGTTTTTTCGGCCATTTGATGGAATAATACTGTAATATTTCAATAAATAACCTACTAAATCTAGATCAACGTACTTTTTTGTTCTAATTGATCCAACGAAAACTATAGTAGGTCAACAAAATTTATTAAAAAAAATGTAATTTTCCCTAGGTTTGTATTGTAATACCATTTATAACCTATATACAAGAATTACTGCAATGTGCAACATATTTTTGATGAGATCGTCATTTTTCTGACAACGAAATTTATCAGAAAATCTTCTTATGCCTGTATCTCAGTTCATCCAAAACTGACTGACAATAGTGTTCCTTACAAAGTGTCGATTTGTCTCTTTGAACACTAGATAAATAATGTCTTTTTGTTTCCAACATTGTGTAAAAAACAGATAATAAAACAAAAATAACAACTTATGGCCTGTTGTACAAATACTATTTAACCTTAGTTTAGACGAAAACCTAGTTTAATTTGAAGATTAAACTTAAACGTACTTCTTTTGGTGTTAAATATCGTTAATACATTTTCAGTGTTTAAAAATGGATTTTATTGGTCATTTCTACAAGAATTATACAAACACCAAAAACATTCCTATTTATACTATACTAAGTGACATATAAATCCGAACACCCAGTTTAAATGGTTTTATTTTAATAAAAGTTGGTGAATGTATTTATCTTACTGTAAATAACAAGTGAAAAAATGTTCAGCCTTATCAGTTGGACATTCCGGTTTTTATACTGCTTTTTTTAATTCACTAACGCTCTAAAAATGAATATTTCAGCCGCAGTAAAGAATCAACGTTGGCGGATTTTGGTTCTTGACATCCTTTACGATCGGTTACGATGTCTAGAGTACGGAGACCTGTACGATTTCGTCAACTTAGTGATTTTGATAGGGGCCGTATAGTGGGACTTCGGGAAGATGGACTTTCTTTTCGGGCAATTGCAGTTAGATTGCAAAGAAGTGTAGACACTGTGGTTAGGTGTTGTCAGGCATGGCTTCGAGAAGGCCGTACGCAAAGAGCAAGGGGCACTGGACGCCGCCGTAGAACAACAGACCGTGAAGATCGCCGTCTAAGATTATTGGCCTTAAGGGACCGTTTCTCCACTACCAGGTCCATTGCAAATGAATGGTTTGCAGAACACGGAAGACCTATTGGCATGCGAAGTGTTTACCCTGGCACGACCATCGTGCATGCCTAAACAAAATCGAGACTCGTCACTAAAGACAATACTGTTCCATTCCTGATCCCAGAGTGACCGTTGTCTGCACCACTCAAGGCGATTACGTCGGTGTTCTCGAGTTAAAGGGAGGACCCAGTGTGGCCGGTATGAAAACAAGCCAAAACTTCTCATTCGTCGGTAAACACTTCGCATGCCAATAGGTGTTCCGTGTTCTGCAAACCATTCATTTGCAATGGACCTGGTATTGGAGAAACGATCCCTTAAGGCCAATAATCTTAGGCGGCGATCTTCACGGTCTGTTGTTCTACGGCAGCGTCCAGTGCCCCTTGCTCTTTGCGTACGGCCTTCTCGAAGCCATGCCTGAGAACACCTAACCACAGTGTCTACACTTCTTTGCACTCTAACTGCAATTGCCCGAAAAGAAAGTCCAGCTTCCCGAAGTCCCACTATACGGCCCCTATCAAACTCACTAAGTTGACGAAATCGTACAGGTCTCGGTACTCTAGGCATCGTAACCGATCGTAAAGGATGTCAAGAACCAAAATCCGCTAACGTTGATTCTTTACTGCGGCTGAAATATTCATTTTTAGAGCGTTAGTGAATTAAAAAAAAGCAGTATAAAAACCGGATTGTCCAACTGATAAGGCTGAAATTTTTTTCACTTGTTATTTACAGTAAGATAAATACATTCACCAACTTTTATTAAAATAAAACCATTTAAACTGGGTGTTCGGATTTATATGTCACTTAGTATACAAGGTGACAAATAGAACAGTCATTTATTTAATTCACTGCAAGTAATGAAGAATTTCTGCAGATGAAAGTGACCAAGATTGTAGTATTTAGATCGAAACTATTCTAAATATTTGTAATTGTCTGTTATAACAAATAACTTTCTCACCATTCGGTATCTTTCAGCTCAGCATACCTGCTGTTGTTTCCATTCATCATCATCTGTTTTAATTATTTCGTAAAACGATTTTTCAAATCGACTAGACCACCCAGAAGAAGGCGGATGTAGGTATAGTTTGAGGACTACGGGAAAGTCATTTCAAGTTCGCTACAAATCAGACGAGGAAGTAATGTAATCGCGAAAAATTTCGGAAATGAGATATTATGTTTTTTGGATAAAACTGACGGAAATGAGTAAATGGTTGATGTACATGTCATAGAATACAAAAAACTCAATATCTCATTTTAGAAATTTTTCGCGATTACACTTCCTCGTCCAGTGACGATTAAATTGCTACAGTTGTAGGAAAAAGTCGTATGTAATTCAATTGCAAAGTACTTGGTACTGTTGCACAAATAGGTATTTCGTCATCGAAAAAAAATTATCGCAATATTTGCAGAAGCCCTCGTATTCAAATTATGTATGTAATAAATTTACTTTATATATTAGTTTCAGTTGGTGGTTATTTCGCATTCAATTCCATTTATAAGCATATTAGCTAATTCCAAGTTTAGTCCGTAACACATATTCGTACATACATGCATGTATTTAATAACAGATTATGTGAAAGTTTTCTTGAAAATTCGCTCTGCCGTGTACTGCACATTTTGTTCTATTTCAATTGCATATACTGCTGCACGTAACTTTGGAAACATAAACTTGTACAATAGGACACCGCGTAGGATACGCCCGCTTTTACTTGGAAATGTAGTCCAGTACATAGAGATGTTTCACTCTTACGGGGGTTGATCGACTTTCTCCGCCCCCAGAGTGCCAACGGACTCATTTGTACTCATTACTTATTCTTCTGTTCAGTTTTACTCATTATCTATTCGTCTACTTGTTTTACACATTTTCTTACTTCCTACACTACTGAGGAAGTATTGTAATCACGAGAAATTGGGTGGGTATAGCTCATTTTTTTATATTAGTATACGAGGATTGTCCGGAAAATAAGTATAAAAAATTCGGGGCGTCGTGTCAAGGCGTTGTAGAGGGGTGGCCCGGTAGTTTCCTCTCACTATGCAATCCCCTCTGTGCTCAGTTCGAGCCGGAGCGCTCTGCGAGTAAGTAGGATTAGTGTGCTTGTTGAAAGTAACCCTTATTTTACCTGCCGCCGACGTGGAGCTCTCTCTGATCGAGGAACAGCGCATCAACATCAAGTTTCTTGCACAGCTAGACTAGAATGGTCGTGAGATTTAGAGTGTTTGGAACAAATTTACAATTCTCTGAAGGAACCAACCATCAACAAGTGGTTGAAAAGGTTTCGGGAAGGGCGAGACCAACGCTCAGGACGCCCCTCCACATCAAGCTCTGGGGGAAATATTGAACGAATTCGGGGCTGTGTTGTTAAAGACCGTCGAGTGACAGTTGGAATGATAGCTGAGGAACTGTCAATCCCAAAAGCAATCGTCCATGAATTCTAATTTGAAGTTGAAATGAAAAAAATGTGCGACAATCGTTCCAAAGCTCTTCACTCCAGAACAGAAAGCAAGAATGGTTGCTTAATGTGAGGATTTTTTGGAAGCACAGGAAACGGGAGACTTTCTCAAACGGGTCATCGCAGGAGACGAGTCGTGGTTGTACGAATTCGATGTTGAGCTGAAACCTCAAAGCATGGAGTGGAAGCAAACCGGGGAACCGAGAACAAAAAAGTCAAAAAAATCATGGTCCAACGTATTGTTCACCAGGAATTTGTCCCTCCCGTCCAGTCAGTGAACGGAAATTTCTACATTGAAGTTTTGCTCGTGTGGCCCGAGTTCGACCGGATTTGGCACCAGGGAGCAGGTGAATCCTTCATCACGACAACGCGCCTGGTCACACGTCTCGCGTTGTGCGTGAGATGTTGGCCCGAAGCTCAATCACCGTGACAGAACCCCCGCCTTATT